CCCCACCCTCTTCTTCCTCCTCCTTTTCCTCAGCCTCAGCCTCAGCCTCATGTTTAGCAGCAGCAGCAGCAACCCCCTCCTGTGCTTTCAACCACTCCCTCTTCCTGGTTCCCCAATAGCTCACTTTGACCCAATTTGGAGTGCGATCATCTCGACATGCGAGAGCAAAGGCAGAATTGGTGGGGTGGAGTAGGTGTTGGCTCGACTTCAGGAACAAGGTCTCATAATAGGGTGTAATATTCTTCCAAACCTTGTCGGTCAAATACCAGACATAAATGAGGACTTCGTCTTTGAGGGTACTCAGGTGAAACCAAAGGTCGCCAGCCTTCTGGTCAACAGCTTCAGTCTCGGTTGAAGCGCGACATGCGCTTTGAACGTGGAAATGAACCAGCGGAAGGGACCCACATTCAAAATGCGTTCGTTCTTTCCAGGCATCTCGAGGGTATAGGGTGGGGGGTCGCTGCATTTGAATACCTCTTTGTAGAACTGAACAAGATCATTTAGCAGAGGCGAGAAACAAATGCTTTTAGAACTCACGTCCTTGTCTCCTTTGGCTAAGGTGGCCAAGATCAGCAAGCCTTTATCATACTCTGTCTTTGTGCTGGAACCTTGATGACAGGAGAAAGTTAGTGGATTGGGACGGCGGTTCTGAAAAATTGATCTGTAAGGACAGCGGTGGTCAACGCCCGGGCTTGCAATATGATGCATATAACCATACCTGATCTCACTCTGCCCTGCCTTGGAGGCACTTGTGGAAGCACTAGTACTGCCCAGTCAGGACGAAAAAACACATCCAGTGTGAAATGAGCCTTACTTGGTCGTAGTTGATGTTCTTGCTGTGGGTCTACCAATTATATTTGAGACAAGGAACAAGAAGCATACAAGTCACCTACTTTGACGTCTTGCTATTCTTTGATGTTCCACTTTTGGAGTCGCTGGTGGACTTCCGGGGTGCGCTGGAATGCATGGAAATAAGTGGGTACATTCTTGAGGCATGGAGATAAGGAGACTACCTTGAGATCGATGCAGCCTCGGTCTGCCCTCTTTGATATTCGAGGACCTCCGTCGTGAGGTCTGCTGGTTTGCCAATACTGATAGAGTAGCACTGTTCGGCCACATCCTTTGGTGGATGAGTGAACGGCCCAACGCTCGCCACGTGCTTGACGATTTCGGATGGCTCGTATGTGTCCAGTATCACCCGGACCGCCTCGTCGAGAGCTTCTTTAGCAGGAGGTTTGGCTATGACACTACTGAGGTAGTTTGTTAGCGTCTCTTGATGCTCCTGTCACAACCTCATGGAAACGGATGGAACACCTGGTGCAGACCTTGCGAGAGAGTTTTTAAAAAGGTGAGCAGAGCTAGAGATCTTATAGAAACTCACAGAGATGAAATCACATTATCCTCTATCTTCGACCTTGAACGATTAGCAAGGGGACTTTCAGTTCTGGGGTTGAGAGTCATGACAGAAGAGACTGCAGGATCCCTATTCCATGTGAGTCCAATTATGACCTAAACAAAGTGAACAGCGGACAACATACCTAGTCTCTTCTTTCAGACGTCGAGGAGTCCAGTGAAATGTGTGGGGGGTTGAAGAGTCATTGCCGCGGTCTGGGTCAGCCAGAGTAAGTGTTGGATCTGCTTCTTCTGAGAAATTAATGTCGAGGAGCTGCTAGTAGTATAAGCATGGGGTCGACCATATCATTAAACGAGTCAACGTACATCGATATTTGGGAGATCTTGATATTGGACAAAAGGTGTTCGCTCAGTGTGGGGGAGCTGAATTAATCTGACGCCTTCTCTGTGGTTGACAGAGGGGGTTGAGGGTTGGGGTGCTGAGCTATACATGCGGCCAACAGGCGAACCGTCAAACAAGACAGTCAAGGTCTAAAAGCTCGATGGTCAACAGCGGAAATTTGGAAGGTTGACGCAGGTCCAAATGCAGATTTCTAGCAGATAAGATAGCCATCTGAGATGGAATACTGCTCCACATGGGTCAAGGACTTGGCCAGGAAAAACGAGGAGGTGCACTCCAGGACTTAGGTTTATTGACCGAGGCGGCAAGAAAAAAGGGAGTGGTCACTTGATACGGAGACAAATGACCAAGTGGTTATCGACTTCGAGATGTGTGGTGCAGGGCATTATGCGGGAACAGGCAAGTTCAGTTAAGCCGCATGTCGAGCTAGAATTGCTTGGGCACACGCCCCCAGCATTCGTGCTTTTGCGTGCATTCTCGTCCTTCAGGTCATCAACATTGGGCAGAGCCCTAACGTAGATTCCCCAGCGACTCGGAGTCTCGGAGAGAGGAAGCAGGCCAACCTGGCGAATCAACCTTTCTTATGTAAACAAAAACAGAGAGCGATCAACAGTGGTCACGTGAAGTATGTGACCATTGAAATTGAGACTTGGTGCAAGCAGCCACGGCAGAGCGTGGCAATTACGAGTTCTTCAGTTAAATTTTATTTAGAGCCTTATATTTATATGGTGGTTACCAGATAATTTGTCTCTTTACAAAGTGTTTAACTAAGTATCCTTGAATTACCCAAGCCAGAACCTCAAATTCAATTGTCAGGAGGAAAATAACCAGAAAGGATGTGCCACTCGTCGCAAACCTTTGGTTGACTCCTCGCAGCACAGCACAGGCTTAGCTAGTCCAAATACGACATAGACTGTCGAGATGCCCACCTCAACAATCCCGGCCCCCTGAGCAGAAACCTCGAGTCAGATGATGACACCCATGTCGTCTCCCTCGGAAAATCAGTCTTACTTATGTAAGAACTCGTAATTATAAGTTCAGGTGACAATGACAAGAAGGAAGTATGGATGTAAGAACGGTGTATATTACATCAATGTACACTACTCTCCTAGCTGAACAGGAAATTAGCGTAGATAGAATGGAGGGCCAAAATGGCAACTCACGGTGAGGCGGATGGGTACGGCAATGGCGAGTTCTTTAGCTTCCTTGAAACGAGAAATATACCTGATGATGAGACGAGAGATGGGATAAAACCAAAGGGAAAGAGTGAAGATCTTACAATTTGATAGCTTGTCGGTAGGACACTTTCGTAGGAGATGGATTTGCGAGGAAAAATGTTTGCTTGCCCAGGCCGAAAATGGCCATTTCACCCTTCCACTCGAATTGTCCACCTGGACCTAGCTCGGCCTCCAAGGACATATTGACAGGGAGCAAGGGGTCGTGGTAGCAGAAAATGAGGAAAGAATAGTGGTCAACCTTCACGATGCATGAAATCGTCGGGACCTGATTAGGGTTCTTGAAGCAAGTGCGAGTCTGAATGCTGGGGAGTGGATTCAAGTGCTCAATGTACAAAGTGCTGAAGTTTTTGGTGAGTCTTCGCACTCCTTGAAGGGGCCAAAAATGACCCCGAGCAGTGAACTACAAAATGCTTAGCAAGCCTACTGACCAAGAGGGAGGGGCACACACCGAAGCAACAGAATGACACATCGTAGACAAAAATTGGAACACGAGGAGAGGTAATAGATGGTCGTCGCAAATCGGTAAAAGGCCGAGGGCCAGCGTACGTGCTCAATCACCTCAGATTCTTATTTAACTGGGCCAGCCTCATGCAGTGTTCGTCTCGCCATGATTATTATTCCGACTTAAGACTGGCCCAAGTTCCAAGTGCTGGAACTAGGTCCATCATCAGCTGAAGAGTTATCGCAAATGTCCCAAATATTCAGACCACGAGGCAACAGAGAATATTTTTAAAAAAACACGGATGTCTGAGAACTCTGATTGGCTGCGAAAGTGCATACTAGAGATGCCAGTCCATGGTCATACCTGCACCCATCCTGTCCAACCTACACCCAATGTCACAATGAGCTCACCTGGTATCCCACTTGCCCCATCCCTCCTCCGCAAGAACTTGTACAGCGACTCAAATGTGAAGTTTATTGACACCTTCGATGTGGTCCAAGGTGCGCCGGTATTTGCCATGGAATTATCCCCAAATGGCACACTTCTGGCACTAGGAGACAATGCTGGGTGCTTGGAAGTTAGTGTTCTGTGGTGTCTGTAGGGCTGTCGGACTCACCCATCACCTTAGATTTGGACGTTCAACGACAATTCGTCGCAGTGGGAGCCATTTCGCCTCTACAGGAAAATTGGCAAAATTCGAGCTGTAGCCTGGGATGTCTCTAAGCCAGCCACACTCTATTTTGGGTCAGAAAGAGGCCTGTTATATAGGGTTTCTATCAATCCGGAGGGAGTGAGTCGCCAGAACAATTTCTCGATCTTTCAAGAAAAGGCTGACAAGAGGAAAGGACGATGCGATTGTTTCCGCAAAGCTTGAGGGTTTCATTCATGCGATAAGAGTCAGTCCGGACAGAGGACAGGTCATCGTCGCATACGGTGACAAAATTTCACTGTACAGCGACCCCTTTGCACATGGTAAGGAGTGCTTTTACTTCAGTCCAATCCAAATGATTGCTGACATATGCATTAGACAACAAGCTTGGGGTGGAGAACCCTCTCAATGTTCAAATTTACAGCAAGAAGAATGTGAAGGTAATCCCGCGTATTCGAAGTATTGACTTCGCAGACGAGAGAATTGTTCTGCTATCTTTCTTCGGAACTGCAGGATACAGTTGAGATGTTCCATACAGCCTATTGCAACCATTACTAAAGTTTTTAACAGCGCCTTCTCTTGCTTCACCTATGGGCCTCTTTGGGATATGGAAATGGCGCCCGAGAGCTTGTAGGTTTTACATTCTTGGTACGGGACATCATTGACCATCTCGATTTAGGGTCGGATCTTGTGCAATGTCGCCGTCTGGAGATAGAATGGCCTCCACGAATCTCAAGAATGGCATCGATTGGTTCAACGTGTCCCATAAAAAATACCTCATGACTATGAAATTCAGAGTTGCGAGACCCGGAGAGAAGAACCAGATCGTCGGCATTGCCTTCATCGATGAGGACACCGTTGTTGTTGGCCATATGAACAGTGCCTTTTACTTCGCCTCCATCGGCATAGACTATGCTCATTGTAGCTTTGATTGTGGCAAAGCTGGTGAGTTCTGGATGCGAAGACAGTTAACATCTGGTGTACTGAACAGCCATCTGGCAGCATTGCACACAGTGGTAAGTTGCACCGGGTACTGGCCGACAATTAGGCTGATTCTTTGATAGTGTGCGGGAAAGACCAATGGCAAAGCAACCATAATTGGCATAAGTGGCGCCAATTACGGCGAATACTGAGCCACCGTGTGCGTGATTGAAACACCTGGTAGAGTACAAGCAGAAGTAAACCCTCAGAAGGTAGGTCTCAATATGTTTCATCGTCATCCTCTCACCTATTCCTACAATGCAGGATGACCTCGGTGAAGACCTGGCGTCATCAAGAATGACGGTAAGCCGATGTCCTTGTATCGAGATACCGACGACTCATGAAGTGCTTGTAGAAATGGCGCAGGTTCTTCGAGCGCAACCTTCTATTGACCGTCGCTACCAGCTCCTTGTCTCTATCTTAGGCTATTG